TAGGTATCTTTCTTGCATCTCCTCCCTCAGTTTGATTTCCTTGGACAGGAGTTTTTTGTTGACGTCTTCTACTGTATCGGCCACTTTAGATGTCAGACTCAGTTTTTCTGCCTGGTTGACGTGGTCTTTTTCTCTCAGTAAAATGTCCATTGCATGAATGCCCTCTTCCCTTCTTCTATTGGCGTCACTCAGTGATTGTTGCAATTCATAAATTCTATAAAATGGAAAATAGATCTGTCAAGGGGAAGTACTCTTAATGAACTAAAGCCCATCTATACAATTGTTAACTTATTAATAATATTTTTTACTGACTGAAGAAAACGACAATTCAACCTAAAACTTTTATTTAACTTAATGTGATGACCTACTTTTTTGACATTTGTTGCTCCAGATTCCTCCTTTCTGTGATTTCAGACTCCTGCTTTGCCCTCACGTCCACCAAGACATCTCGGAGTTCTGATAATCTACAAAAACAATTCACACAGTAATGATATAGCTGTTGTATTAATTGCGGTGTGTTCCCATTTCGCCTTAACTGTGAAATTCGGGTAAGAAAAAGTTTAAAAGTACTAAGGCGAAATGGGAATTTTAGTATTTGTAGATATTATCACTGGGTTGAAATAAAAATTTAAATGATAAAAAATTTTAGATTGAATTTACCAGTTAACAGGAATTCATGAATACAGTGAATGAAATAATAGATGTAATACCAAGTATTTTTAAAAAAAATACTTTATACTAAATATATTAAATCTTCATCACCTTAATTCACCTGAGAGCTTACTAAGGCGAAATGGGAATGCTAAATTTTACAGTTAAGGCAAGATGGGAACAAACCTTAATTGCCACTTCTACTCTACTTTCTCAATTAAGTGGTAAAAAATTGTTCTTAATTAAGTGAAACTTAAAGATTTTCACGAAATCTTTCTCATGCTTTGTTCAGAATGAAGAGGACATTATGTGTACCTGGTTTCCACCTGGCCTTTGAGTTGCGTTGTCTGTTGGTCTGTCTGTGACTGTATCGTGGATGTCTTCCTGAGAGCCTCCAGCTAAAACAGCAAACAAATAATTACCTGTTGTTTCTATTTTATCTTAGCTTTTAATTAAAATCTGAACAACAAAGAAAACAAAAAAACAGCTGAGTTAACAAATAAGAATTTTCACAAATGCAAGAAATCTTGGTCAGTTAGTACTGATTGATAGATTCTTTTTTACTGATTGATACAAATATTGAGAAATTACTAGTACTGTCCAAACAATAAGCACAAAAGAAAATGCCCCCCTTATCCAAGCATCTCTGATGTGCAGGATAAGGGTCATTCTATAAGGAAGCCTGACGGCTTCGAGAGTTGACATTGAATTTCTATTCTTAGTTTATCACGACAGAGCCTACTTCACAGCCGAGTGATTTTCTAAAGAAAATTCACCCGGCTATTGTCTCCTTCCATATAAAAGCCCCTGTGCCTTTCGAACGCGTTCTCTTTTTACAGTTAAGCAGAATATTTGACATTTATTGAGAGATAATCAGGGTCGGGATCAAATACACTGCCATTAAATTATTGTAGATATATATATTAAATAGTAGACATGAGATAGGGATGGGAAGGTCAACTCTCGAAGCCGTCAGGCTTCCTTATAGAATGACCCTTATCCTGCACATCAGAGATGCTTGGATAAGGGGGGCATTCTATTTCGTATGCCTTCTGGCATTCTCAAGTTGACATTGAATTCTTTAAAGCCTCTCAATAAATGTTAAAAATTCAGACCTTGTAAATTTATGCATAAGGAAAATTATTATCTTCTTAATCATTTGTGATTCCTCAGGTAATACCAATAGGATATAGAATCAGAACTAAAGAACACATGTTTATGAAAAACAGAAAAAAGAAAAACATAATCAATATTTATTTTAGAAAATTAAACAATTGAAGTGTTATCATGTACATTGTTATACTTTCTTTCACAAAAATAACGTTCATAACAGTAACACTGAAAAAATCAAATCCTAGACTATTCATGTATTATGTCCATGATCACACAGTCACAGTTTCTCCTTCCTGGAAAGCACAGCGGAAGAAAATGAATTTTCATCCTGAATATCTTTATTGTAAAATCGGTGGAAAGTGGTAGCTGAGGACCAATTCGCTGTAGAAAGTATGTCGTTTAGGGTGACCCCCGACAGGTATGCTGTTGAACATGATGCCCCTCTGAAAGAATGTGCTTGAAATAAGGAAATATCTATACCAGAAAGTTGTAATACTCTTTTTAGCCATCTTGCTATTGAACTCGATGTTACTTGTTGGAATGTCTTAAAAGAAATCAAAAGTTGAGGAGATTTCCTTTTTTCTTTTGTTCTCTCTAAATAATGTTTTAATGTAAACACAGGACAAATGGATTTGTCGTGAAATGCATTTATTTTTATCAATGAATTCAAATTTCCCAATTTTGAGGTTTTCTGCAAGTCCTGAATAGAAAAACTTATAAAATTTTCTGTAATATTCATATTATCAACATTCATTAAACTCAGAGTCTGAGATCTTTGCGCTGAAGTCAAAGCTAATAATGCAGTAGTCTTATACGTCAGCATTTCCAATTTTAATTCTTTTAATGGGAATTGTTTTGCTAAAAAACTCAAAACTTTTTGCACATCCCAAAATGATCTGTATTTTGGAATGGGTGGTCTGAGATTAAATATTCCTTTCATGAATCTATAGCAATGAAAGCATTATCTACAAATTTAGAATTTCCCAGGGATGCTAAAGTTTGTGAAATAGCACATTTATGTGTATTGATGCAACTGTAAGATTTATTTTCTAGACAAAGAGTTGTCAAATAATTAACAATGTTTACTTCATTTGGTGCAATGGGATCAACATTTTGTTTACTACACCAATGCATCCAAGCTTTCCATGGATATTGGTACTGTTTAGCAGTGGAGTTTCTCCACGATTTTGCCATGATTTTTGAAGCTTCTTTTGAAACTCCTTTCTTTTGGAGATATCTCCGGATACACAACAACCTATCAGAAATAACTTTCTCTTGTTCATTGGGTGTAGAGCATTGTTGTGTGCTAGAGTTAACAGATCTTTCTGAAAAGGTAGCTTGACTGGAAAATCTATTAAAGCGGCTAGTAATCGGGGGAACCATGTTTGAGTCGTCCATAATGGACATACTAACAACACTCTTTTTACCTGTTCGTCCTCTATTTTCTGCAACACTTTTGCCATCTGACTGAAAGGTGAGAAAATATATGGATCAATTAGATTATTCCATGATAAAGAAAATGCATCAAATTCAATTGCATTTGGATCTGGAAACCATGACACATAATTATTAGGTAATTGTGTATTCAATCTAGATGCAAAAAGATCGATCTTAGGTTTAAAAAATCTTTTACACAGTTTTCTAAATACACCTTCATTTAACATCCACTCAGTACAATCATTAAACTCTCGTGACAAATAGTCAGGGATTTTATTATCTTTCCCTGGAATATGCACTGCTGATATAAATATGTTTTTTCTGAAACACCAATTCCAAATATTCTTTGTCTCTTCTAAAAGTGACAAAACAGATCCCCCAATTCTATTTATATAGGCCACTGCTGTTGCACTATCTGATTTCACACAGATATGACAATTATTGTAAAATTTACAAAGGGCAAGCAGGGAAAAATAAATTGCTCTCAACTCAAGTTTATTTATATGCAACAAACTCTCCAAAACATCCCATCTGCCTTGTGTAGAATTTTTTGTAAAATTCCCTTCTTTAAGTATTGCTCCCCAGCCAATTAATGATGCATCAGACTCAATGTATATCTGAGGAGCAGTTGGTCTAATTGTTTTACCATTGTAATGTTTTAAATTTTCAATCCACCAATTTATCTCACTTTTTGATTCTTGAGAAATAATCATTTTTCTATCGTAATTCTGAAAATTCTTTTCTAATGCTGTACATTTGTCCCTGTCTAAATATCTATGATACAATGGACCCAATTGTATTGCTGTACTTGCCGAATTATATAAACCAATCAAAGCAGTAACTTCCCTAATTGAAACTTGATCTTTTCTCAGAATATCAGAAGATAGATGTAAAATCTTCTCAACTTTCTCATCAGGTAATAAAAACTTAAAACTCACAGAATTTACAATAAATCCCAAATACTGAATTTGTTGGGAAGGAAAAACCATTGATTTTTCAGAATTTATATGAAATCCTAAATCTCTGAGGGTTTTTATTAAAAATTCTGCATTTGATCTACAATTTTTTATATCCAAATCTTGATTCAATGAATCATCTATATAATAAAAGCAACAAATTCCCATACTCCTCAAGTACGAAAACACAGGTTTCATAATTTTTGTAAAACCCTTGGAGCACTAGACAAACCAAACGGAAGACAAGTAAATTCATATAATGTATCTCTCCAAATAAACTTGAGATATTTTCTTGAAGTATGATGAATTGGGATTGAAAAATATGCATTTTCTAAATCAACCGAAGTAAAATATGCATCTTGTTTTAGCAGTTCTGCAACATGATGTAAAGTTTCCATCTTAAAATGATGGTATTCAACAAACTCATTTAATTTCTTCAGATTAATAACAGGTCTAAATTTTCCATTCTTTTTCTTGACAAGAAAAATGTTTGAAATAAACTCATTTTCCTCATGTTGAGATTTTTCAATTGCTCCCATGCTCAGCATTTTTTCAACCTCATCATCAATCAAAGCACACTCTGTATTGTTAAAATTTGGAGTATTTGGAATACAGTTTTGAATAGGTTCTTGTTCAAATTCTATTTTATACCCAGAAATAGTCTCTAAAATCCAATCATCATCTGTAATAAGTTTCCATATATCTACAAAATATTTTAGGCTGCCTGCCTTAAAATTAGTTACCTCTAATTGTAGTAACTTCTGCGCAGATTTCTCCTGCCTCTTGCTCCCCGTACAAAGCTCTTGTTCTGGTCTGTACTGTAGCTGAACTGTCCTGTTCTGTATCTCCCTCTCTGACTGTAACTCGACTGAGGGTTTGTCATCATTCTGTTGCCTCGACTTCCTCGAAAGTTTTTTGAGAAATAATTCCTATTTATTTTTTGTGCATCGTTTATGTCTTTCAATCTCTTTCCGACATCTTCAAATAACTTGTTATCCCCTATTTTTTCATTTCTATTGCAAAGCTGATGATACCTTTTGTCAATGAACGGTTTCATTAATAATCGTCTATTTACAGAAATTTCAAAAAAGGCATTCAAAAGTACTGTTAGTGAGTCTGATATGCATTTTTTCAACTTTTTTGAATCTGGTGATTTACTTTTTAATTCCTCAGCCATTCTAATAATAGGGACAATGCCATGGCCCAACAGTTTCTGTACTGTTTGTAAACCTAAATCTTTAGATTTTATGTTTCTATCTAAGAAATGCCAAATTTCAGAATTAACTGCAGGAGGTGACAAATCTTTACAGTTTGATGGAATTTTTAATTCTTTGACAATAGACTTAACATCTGACTTTTTCTTCACAATTGATTGCACCATTTTAGAAATATTTTCGTTGGTTTCCTCACCAAACTTTTCATCGTCTTCAAATATTTTTGGCATTTCGCTCAAAAAATCGTCTATCTCGTTATCATTTTCAAGGTCTTGCTGTTCATTGTCTGAAAAAATATCATGGTGAGACTCTATCTCATTTGACATGCTTTGGTCATTTTGGTCATTTTGATTTGTACATGTGGTACTAGACTTGCTTTGGTCATTACATGTATTTACAGGTGGGTTTACACTTCTATTGGTAATAGCTTCTTGAGAACTCTCATTAATTTTTCTAATAGCAAAATTTGCAGTTTCCAACACTTGGTTTAAAACTTCATCCATTTTATTTTGCCAAATAGTTTCTTTATTTACTTTTTGTTTTTTGGGGTTTTTTCCGGTTTTAGACTGACCCGGTTTGCGTTTTCTTGTGCCTCTTGCACTTCCGGTTTGTTTATTTGTAGAATTTACAGATTGAGGCAATGTCGCCAAATCATGAGATTCTGACGCCTGCTCTATAATTTCGTCAGCCAAATTTTTATCAAGTTCGAACCCCGAGAAACTGCCCTCATCTTCAGAGGCAAATAATTGCATGATATCGTCGGCATGAGCCTGACGTGTATGTCGACCCTTCGAAGTCGAAGGTTCATCGTCTGACATGATTATCGCCAAAATAAAACGTTTCAATTAGAAACTAAACGTAAGAGCAGCAGAAATATCTGGAAAAAAACGAAAGGATGAAGTAAATTTACTTTTAATGTAAGTAGAAACCCGAAATACAACCCGTGTCGGGTACAACTCAAGATAAAAAATCCCACCACGTGCGTGGCAAGAAAAAATAATGGTCATTCGAGTCGGATGACCACCTACCGGTTCTGTCGCCTAAGAATAAAAAGAGAACGCGTTCGAAAGGCACAGGGGCTTTTATATGGAAGGAGACAATAGCCGGGTGAATTTTCTTTAGAAAATCACTCGGCTGTGAAGTAGGCTCTGTCGTGATAAACTAAGAATAGAAATTCAATGTCAACTTGAGAATGCCAGAAGGCATACGAAATAGAATGTGATGGCAGTACAATATTTAATATAGTCTATGTTGTTAACTTAATCCAGTAACCTGAAAGTTAAGGAATAAAACAACACACTGCATCAGAATCCTGAAGGCTATGGTGTCACAAAGAGATACGGGTATACAATGAAAGCTGTGAATATTGCCTTATCACATCAATACTCGATAAAACTTAAAATAAAAACACATACCCCTGCATAGATTCCTAAAAGCCCTTAAATTCTTCAAAGTGAAAGCATTATGTGCATGCATTCTCATAAATAATATTGGCAAAATTGAAGTATTAATTATACCAAAGTTGAACTCACTTTCTGTTAAAAAGAAATGAAGATTAAACTAACTTCTGCATAACTGGATGTTTACTAGGTATCTTTGATGGTTCAGATATCCATTATTAAATTTAAAAAATCACAATTTAAGCTAAAAAAAAAGGTAAACAGATAAAAAAAGAAGCTTTAAAAGCAATATAATTAAGCTTTATTTCTGCATTGCTGTTCTACAAATCTTAATCAAAATTGAGAAATCTAGAGTTATAAGTATACATTTTTTTTGGCTTATTTCATTGCTGAATATAAAAAATGTACTGCTGCAGTAATGAATTGATCTATTATTATGAATAATCAAAATATGAAAGAAAATATAGAAAGAAGGCTTGAAGAAAAATAGACTCTTTTCAAAATTGCCACTAAATCTAAAGACCTGGTAATAAAAAAATGAAAACTCTATACAAGCTCTAGCTATTTCATTGCAAAAAGATACTCAGATTTAATACAAGTTCTTTAGTCTATCACTGGAATTATCTGTACAGCAATTAAGTTAACAAAGATTTGATCCAACAATTTTTTTAAAAAAAGGTGAAGCATAAGGGAGACAACTTGTGTCCGACTCTCTTTTACTACAATATAATGAGTTACCTCCTCTGCCTGTGTGCATTCAATTTTATCAAATACAAAAATTAAGTCAAGAAAACACATTAAATTTAAATCTCTTGCTGTCAACATATTAAGCTAAATAATATAATGACAAAAGCTAAGGCTTTTCACTTTTTAATAGGCACCCTTCAAACTATTGCAGTGATCAAATCTTATTTTCTTTCAATTTGGCTTCATAAGGAACAATTAAAGTACATGTACTGAAATATTTATTTCATATTTTTTGTGACTGCAGAATCCACGACAACTTGGGTGTTAAATTTAAAAGAAGATTTAGATTTACTAGCCATTTTTATGGTGTAAAATGTGTAGAAAATTCAAAATAAAATAATTAACCCTAAAACTTATTATTACTCAGTGTATTAAAGGGAAACTACAATAATAATGCCATATTACACATGGGTCTTATATATCCATTGCAAAGTTACTTTAAAAGTAAAAAATAATAATGAGTACATAATTTGGGAGGAAAGTCTCTAACTCAAATAATCATATACATTTGATTGAAGTACAATGTATAATGCCTAGATTATAAGACATACCCTAGATTTCAACTTTGCCTGCATAAATGCAATTGATTGTGACTTGAATGTGCAAATAAAAATTTCATTAAAACTGTAAATATTACAGGATGGTGCAGTTATGTGCATTGAGTAATATTTTCCTCTCATTTTCTTAAAATAGAATTGTCATTTGGGGGTGAACAGAATCAGTATTATGTTTCCCTCAAAAATGAATGTCCAGTTTATATGTCAACATTAAACACAGCTAAATAAAATGCTTTTTGATGACAACATTATCACATCTAATGAAAACTAACAAAAGAAAACAAAATTATAGACATTTTATATTTGATTTGAGTTTTTGGACTCATTTATCAAACATTAATTCAAAAATCATTCCAAATCAATCACAATCTATATTCACATTTATGGTTATATAATCACACAATAGTAACTCTAAATACCTTCGGAACCCCTCTGTTTTTTACCTGATTTCTGTTGTCATCCTCTAGTTTTTTGGACTTGTTTCTGAGGTCTGAGGAGACTGTACCCAGTTCAGCGGACTGCTGTTCTACTTTCATTTTCAGGTTTCTGATGTCATCAGCCATGGAGAAACAAATTCGCTCAAGCTGATTCTTAGCACTTTGCAAGTCCTCCATCTCTGCTCGCATCTCTACGAGTCTGAAAATTCACAACTTTTATAATAAATTTCACAATATACATACAATAAATATAAAATAATACTTATTATTTTGACTTTAGATCATTATACTTATAATAATTGCACTCTCATAAAGAAGCTTAAATTATAGGGCCAGCCTCTAAATTACAAATTACATAATTATTATCATTAAGGATTGAATATCAAAATTTACATATTAGAAAGTCAAACTATACATTATTTTGAGCTAGATGGGATTACAAAAAAAACCTTTGAAAGAATTCGAGATATCATGGGTAAAGTAGTTAAAGAATAATTTAAAGTTGTTCAGACCTCAAAATCACTTTGAACAATCCATGGTATTTGATATACATGTATCAGTGTTCAAGATAAAGAAGTTCAAATGTATCAATTACATGTATGTCTAAAATAAAAAAATACGTAAAAATAACTTCTTTTTCATAAATCTAAGAGACCCTTTTGCTCACTTTTGAGACTGCACATCTTTTTTGGCAATCAGTTCATTTTGACTGCTTTTGACAGCTTGCTCCACCCCTTTTGTGTGATTGACAAGTGTTGACAGGGATGATTTCTCTTCTGCCAGCTTTTCTTCTGCATCTTTGATTCTAGCACTTAACTGGGAGATAAGTTCGTTGTTTATTTTCATGGCGGATTCCAGGTTATGCCTAGAGCCCTTTTCCTCTCGCAGAACCTCCTCATTTCTACGATTTGAGGATTTTACATCACTCTGTAGTCTAAGCACCTCCTCTAAGAGGGCTCGATTTGATTTTTCCGCTACATTCAGTCGGACTTCTAACTGGCGAATACGTTCATCTGCATCAAAGTCAAAAGTTGGATTGATTCCACCTGGACTAGCTTTCCGTCCATTTATAGGAACGAGACTTTTATCTGGTCTGGGGGAATTTATTTCAGGAAGATAGGCGTACTTGGAGGGGAACTGGGTGGCGACAGGTGGCCTGAAAAAAAAATCAACAGTTTTTACAACAAATCAATATGACTTGTATATGTGTAATTGAACTTTCCCATTATTTTAATATTGTACAGTTATGTTACTTAATGTCTAATCAGATAATTGAATTATATTTTCGACCCTTTCGATCCTTTCATTTGGGCGAATGTTAAAATGATTATTGGGCTAATAAAATGCACAAATATAATACAGTATAATTTCTTTAATAAAACTATGATTGGGCTAATTTAAAACGGGGCAAAATTGTTTGCAAGTGTGAAAGGGCGAAAATAACCCTGTATACATATCATTTTAATATCGTGCAATTGTGTTATTTAATGTCTAATCAGACTTAATTGAATTAAATCAAAATATGAAAAAAATAAATTCTGATCAATTTCACTTAAGAAATATACAACTTATGTCTACAAATGATTATTGGTTCTAATAAAACTCTTTCAATATGCATATGCATGCAAATATATACTTTTTTAAAAGCTGCACCAATTGTTAATATGTTAAGTAATAATAAGAGCAACATTTCTTTAGTACATATAGACTACTATTTGAAAAACAATAATGTTAAATTCTTAATCTAGAATTATAATTTCAAAAGTACTGCATGGGTATATTGATGAAAACTTCAAGCAGTTTATATTTCTGTGACTGTTCATTACAAGCATTAAAAAGAGCTATCTCCTCTTTCAAAGGACTAAAAAAGGAATTGATTAAACACAAATTACTGGCAATGAATGTCCTCCAATATGATTATAAATTTCAAAAAATCCTTAATCATATAACCCTTCAGATTCTGTAGCATTTTAATTATATTCAAAGCTGTTCAGTGAGTACTCCGATTAGTAGATCAAAGTACTTTTTAGAGTACATGTATATACTCATCCATCAACCCTGAGGGACAGTGAGGTTGTTCATCCAATAACCTCAATTTTATTTCTGAGAGTTTTACTTTTCTTTTCTGGCCTAGGCCATTCCAAGTTTTTTCTCTGTTTAGCGTCCACCCATCTTTCAAAAACCTAGCTACCTATTCGCAAAAAACACACAAGTCAAAAAAAAGAACCCCACATATTTTATATTTAATAAAAATGACGTACTGTAGATCACTTAATTTTCGCGACACCTTATTTTCGCGAGATAGTCATTGACTTTTTATTAGCGAGACAAAATTTTCACAAATTGTAGTCATTGCTTTATATAATCTTAAGGAATTCTATTATACGCGAGAATGAAATTTTTGCGAGCATACTCACTCGCGTCATTACGCGAAAATGAAGTTCTCGCGAATAAAAAGTGATATACAGTAATTCAAAACATATGATTTCATTTATCTATTTTTCATAAAGAAAGTTATTTTCTTCAGCAAAATTAAGGTATCAAATACTGAAACTATTCCAAAAATGAAATATTATACAAATATTTAGAGATATTGCCGGAAATCACAAATTTTTACCTGAATAATTAATTTTCAAACTCCTGATTCTGTTTGTTTTTTCTGACATGGGGTGTCAAAAACCCAAGGCACACGCGGACGCTAAACAAAGAAAAAACTTGGAATGGCCCTATAAATCCTATGGCAATATCAACTGTAAAATCAGGTAAAATCCCCCTCACATTTGGATGAAAGCCACTTCAATTTTTTTTTATTCCTTGAAGGGTACAAAGTTGAGTATTACCCATACATATGGAC